ACACACTCCCGCCGGGCAGGGCAGCCTCTCAGCTGTCGGGCAAAGTGGCAGGCCGGGCCTCGGCCTCAAGCCGGGGCGTGGGCTCCTCTTTGTGAGGGGCTCTTGGGGAGGGGGGGGACACGAGCCGCCCTGCGGGGGTTGCGGGGCAGAGAGCCTCCTGCCTGGGGAGGAGAAGAAAGGGCCCGGTCCCTGGCGAAGAAGGGGCAGCTGCCACGCCCTCCTGTACGAGGGGTGTGGCCGCTCCTGGGGAGGGGGGGCCCAGGCCAGGGTCAGGCGGAGACCGGACCCAGCACCAGCCCCCGGACCTTGGCATACACCCCCCAACCAGCCGGTACCCTTGCTGGAGAGGGGGCACGGCAGCTGTTGTTACGATGGCTCTTGGGGCCGTCCCTTTGCGGAGACAAAGGAGAGGAGAGGAGGGGGAGTCTCTCCCCTCTTTCCTCCCAGCCTCTCCTCTCGGCACCCACCCAGGCGAGGGGGGCAGCCCCACCCAGGCCATGGGAATGGCCTCCAGGTGCCCCCAGAACAAAGAAGCCCCTCCCTTCTGCCCTGACCTTGCTTCTCCTAGAGGTGACCTTGGCGAGCTCACCAGGCAGAAGGAGGCCATACCTGAACCGCCCCCCCCGCGCCCCCCCAGCCCTTCCTTTGGGCTGTTTCTCTCCTTGCCTCAAGGAGGGGGGGCAGTGGCTCCTTTTCTTTCCCCTTCAGCCCCCCACCCCGTTGGGGCACCATTCCAGCATCCTCTCTCTGCAGAGCTGGGTGGGGCCGAGGTCTTTGTCCTGCCACCCAGGCCCCTGGAGGGAGCTGAGGAGAGGGGGAGGCGGCTCAGGGCCCACCTCTCAGCCTTTCTCTTCCTATAAAAAGATATTTTCTTTGGATTAGATTTTTTTTTAAAAAAAAACAGCCTGGAGTCATCCAGGATATCCCCACCTCTTCCTGGACTCCCCCAGCCTTTCACCACAGAGGTCTCTCCCTGGCTGATGCAGAGGTCAGGGGCTGTCCAAGGCCCCCTCAGAGGGCTGGAAGACCCAGGGCTCCCTTCTGTGCAGAACCTGTCTGACAGGTGAAAAACAGCTGCGAGAGGAAGTCAGGCATTTACTTTTGCAGAGGCAGCCAAGAGTGAAGAGCCCTGGGCTTTGAAAGGGTCTCCCTTACTCTTGTTTAGTATAGGAGAGAAATCTCCCAGGGGTTTCCCCCCCCCTCCCAAGCAGGCAAGAGAGACTGGTGGCAATTCGGCCAGCCACAAAGAGAGCTAATAACCCACTAACCCGCCCCCCCGGCTTCTCTCCTTCTCCCCCCACCCCATCCTTCCAGCTGCCCTCCGCCCAACCTGGACATCTGTGCCTGCTCCGAATGAATCAAGAGGGGCTGGTCCAGCGCTGCAGTGTGTGATCGCACCACTTAATGGCCTATCCCCATGGGGTGGGGTTGCAAGGAGCTTCAGGCTGAAATCAAATCAGCTCTCTGGGGCTCTTCTGCAGCTGAGGCTGGGCACTTCCACCACCCCCTCCCCTCCTCCCCATCTTTTCCATCCCCAAAGGAATAGTCTGGTCATTATGCTGCCTGTAGGGTGAGGGGGGGAGTGGTGGTGGAGGAGAGGAAAGCACCTGCCACTCATCCATGGCCAGGAGGCTATTGAAGAAGCAAAATAATGAGGCTGGAAAATTAGCCAATTCCCATCTCATGACTTCCGATTGCATGGTGCCTTCCGGGGGGGGGGGCAACAGGACACAATGGGTTTGCTTCCCCTCTGCACCCAAAAAGCTTCTGTTCTCTCCCTGCCCCACCCCCACGTTATACTGTTTGGCACCAAACACTGTGAAGAACCTTGAGAATCTCGGTCTTTTACAGAGGAAACAGGATCATTTCCCACTGGAACTCAAGTTCCCAAGGCAAGGAAGAATGACCTGATCACTCCATTAAAGGCTCTTCCCCCCCCCCCATGATTCACCCTCTTGGGCTGCCTGACTCAAGATGCACCAGAATCTTTGGAAGCCAATCCATGGTGGTGATCCAGGCAGTGCTGGGGGGGGGGATTTAGCTTTCTAGATGGACTTATCAAAGCCAGTCTCATGCATATGCTAATTTTGGTGAATAATTCATTGCAAACTCAGGGTTTCTGTCACGGTAACCTGATCTGTGTAGGCTCAAGGCTGGCCTTTGTATGGCAGCCTAATTCTTGGGACTCCTTGTCTGTACTGAAAATATTTAAGAGTTGCTTGTGTTGTTAAAACACCATTTAAACTCTCTTGGATGTTCTACAATGTTGGATTCTGCAGTATTTTCCCCGGAACATATTTTACTGCTTTCTTGAAAGCCCTGACAGGCTTCTCTCCCCCCCCATGAAGACTTCTGCTTTCTTTCTGTCTCGAGATTAGCGATTTGTTTAGTTGTGCTCTGGGGTTCCTCGGACGTCCCTTCCCCCTCAGAACTGAGCCAGGTGGCCTTGGAAAAGCGGCTGCTTGTCCCTTTGCCTCCAAGTTGTAACCGATGCTGACTCATAATTATGTGCCATCAATTTAATTCTAGCAGACGGCAAACCTTAGCAAGGTTTTCTAGGTATACCCAGAGAGGGCATACCGTCCCCTTCTTCTGGGGGCACCCTGGGGCTGTGCAGCTTGCCCGAGGCTACCAAGGCTGGCTCTTGTCCCAGGAGGCACACTGCTGAAGGCTCAAACGCCCAACACCTCTGGCTTTGTAAAAAGGTACCCGACTCGCTGAACTATCATATGATCTAAGGATCATTGTCCCATGTTTATCCTTTTTGGGTTCAAAGCTTCTACTGCACCCTGCTTGTTCCCAGCCGGGTGGGGTTTGAGAAGCTAGCAGCGAGCTCTGGAGAGGAAAGTGTTGGACTGCAATGCCCATCATCTCCAAATTATGCAGGCTTGGGGCTTCCAGGAAATCATAGTCTAAAAAGACCCTTTTCTCCATTCAAAGCCTGGAATATTGAAACAAGAAAGGGTGAGTTATTTCCACAAGGTTCATGTCACTGTGAACCTTCATTTCTAGAAAAATGTTGGTACGGTACTCTCCTAATGGAGGCCAGTCTGTAATTCATGCTGGGGAGGATCAGCTGTGGAGCATGTGGGCCGTGTCATTGTGCTCACGGTCCTCCTGACCTTGCCATCATTTCTAATTTGTCCTCTTAGTGCTGGGAGTTCTCTCTCTTAATTAAAGCCCTCTCCGCTGGAGATTTTTAGAACCAAGGACATGCCTTATCTCTCCCCCTCCCCCTCTCAAGTGGAATTTAAAGGGACCAGGTCAGATTCCTGGGGGAGAGAGGGAGCTTTTGCTCCCATCCTCACTGCCTCTCCAGAAAAGCAAGACCTTCAGTCCATTAAAACCTCCCATCCGAAGAAGCCCACTTTTCCATCGCCACGAATGCCACTGAGCCTTTGTTTACAGGAAACGTTTGCTGCACAGCGGAGGGGTAAAAGGGAACCTGGATCTAAAAGGGAACAGGGTTGCCCTTCCCGTCTCTCTCTCTCTGGCACACACACAGCTCCCATCCTGCAGCTTCCACACTGCTGTTGATCACAAATTTGCACCAAGGACTGGCAAAGGGAAGTCATGTGCTTTACTCCTCTGCGAGATGACTCAGCACAGATCTTTCTGCTTCCCTGTATCATATTTCAAAGGTGGCATAATTGCTGGGTTCCAAACCGTGCCCTCTCGCCTGGTTGGTCCTTCGCTACCTTTGTCGCCTTGGCGAAGTATTGCAGCTCACTGCAGTGGGCTTGGCAGAGCAGGCCCAGAGGCTTTTATACAGCCAGCCAGCTAAAGTCTCAGGATCCGAGTCAAAATCCAGCTCCAGCTGCCTGTCTCTTACAGAAGCACCACCCGGGACCTTCAGCCTAATGGGAGGCTGCTGTTTCAGCACCAAGGCTAGAGGCTTGGAACGGTCAATGAGAACGTGACTGCAGGATGAGATGGTTGTCGGGGACCTGCGTATACATCCCGGGCCCTTTTTCAAGCAGATTGACTGAGAGGTCGTTTGATGATTTATTCAAAGAAGGAACTGGGGGGAAAGGAGAGAATGTCATTGTCAAGTGTTATTATGGGATGCCACCTTCATTGATCCTTATAAGACATTTCTGTCCTTGCTCCTGGTGCTACTTGGTGCTCTCTCTCTCTATCTATCTCTTCTGGCTTGTCTGAGGAACCCAAGAGGACAGGAACAAGTTCCAGCTTTTGTTTCCACTTTCCAGTCGCCTAGTGTGTAAAATAATATACCTCTACTGATTGAATTGTTAATTGATTGACTTTCTTTCTTTCTTTTCCTTCCTTTCCTTCCTTCCTTTCCTTTTCCTTCCTCCTTTCCTTCTTTTCCTTCCCTTCCTCAGTTCTGGGAGGTAATCAGCGATGAGCACGGTATAGACCCCAGTGGGAATTATGTTGGTGACTCTGACCTACAGCTGGAAAGGATCAGCGTCTACTACAACGAAGCCTCCTGTAAGTTCTCCCCATGAGCCAGACCCTACTTCTCTGTCCGGATGGCTGGCATCTTGTGCTGAGAAATGAGATCCTTCCTGGAAATCACACAGGAGAGCTGTTACCATCCTTTGGGGACCATCCATAAGAATGGACCTCCAGCTTAGCTAGCGAGATGGCTAGGATGGCAAGCCACTGTCATCCCCAATGAATGGGGGTAATGGGTGTTGAAGTCCCACCTATCTAGAGAACGCTAGAATCGGGAAGGCTCCCTCAGACCCCTTGCAATGGCATCCAGGGTGGCAGCTTCTGCTTTCTCTGCATTTAACAAGACCGGCCGTGAGGAGGTAGCCCTGTGTGGCCAGCTTGACTGTTTGCACTGCCATTGGAGAGGTCACTTTGTTGTGGGGCAGAGTGTTGTTTTTTCATTTCCCCACCCCACCCCCACACCCTCAGTTCTCTGCTGGTCATGCCACAACCCTAAAATATCTCTGAACACTGGCCTCCTCCTCTCTGGAGATGCAGGTCTGCAGATCCAAAATACCAACCCCCCTTAGGAATTACCTGGATGGAGATGAGGAAAAGTCCTGTTTGCAGGAGGGGGGGGTCCCATCCTGTCCAGGAACTTCTTCTGCAGGGCATCTTTCCAGCATAGCCTTGCTAATGGAGATAGAGGCTTATGGAGGAAGGAGTCTTGAGAGGTTCACCCTCACGGTGCCCCGAGTCTTGTGCAAAGCTCAGAAACTTACTTTTTGGAACCCCACCGCCCAGAAGGCCGAGCCAGGCTCCTAGGGGATTCTGGGACTTTATCATGCAAAACAAGCAAATGTTCTCAGCTCTGCTTTCATGTGACTTGGTGGGGGGGAGGATTGTTTGGGTCATCCAGCAGGGCAAACCTCCTGTGAAGGTGACGGTGCTTCCTTGTGGCCTGGAGGAGGGGGGGGGCTCCTATGAAGCAGGTACAAGGAAGGGAAAGGATGGGGCCGCGGGTGAGATGAAGCTCCGGCCAGATCCTGGGTGTTGCTTAACCTCCTTCCCAAAGGGATCCTTCTCACGGATTCTCTTCTGAACTTTCATGATTCTTCCAGCTCACAAATATGTCCCCCGAGCGATCCTGGTGGACTTGGAGCCTGGCACCATGGACAGCGTTCGTTCCGGTGCCTTTGGGCATCTCTTCAGGCCAGACAACTTCATATTTGGTACGGCTTTTCTTGCTTTTTTTGCCCCCCGGTTAGGCTCCCTCTCCTCCCTAGAGTTGCGTTTCGTTCTGCAGCCAGGAAATGACACCACCATTTCTCAGATTGGGCTCCAGCCTTGGCAGGCTTTAAGACATTTGAGCTGTTGGGAATCAAGCGCAGAAAAGAGATGGGGGTGATGGGGAAAATTTGAAACCCTCCTTAATGTGCTTTAAACGTGTCCCCCACGGTCGAGCTGCTAGTCCATGTTTTCTTCTCCTTACTTAGGAGAAAAGCTGGTTGCTCTTCAAAACAGGAAGAGGCTGGGGTTCCTCTGGAGCTCCAGAACTTTGCATAGCTTCAGATTTAGGGGCTTTCCCCGATATGAAGTGGAGCAGAGAACATGCATTTCACCCACAGGGGAAACCAGGGCGTTCGATCCCCTTCTCCTGGGGAACATCGCTCATCCTTACTGCACCGTTGAAACCACCTGGTGTTCCTCCAGGAGCCGCAGGCGGGATTGAGGTGGGAAAGCCCTTCCTTTAGGATCTGTTTTTATTTTAGGAAATGAAAAGAGCTTCAGGGAACTTTGAATACTCGTTGGCCCCAAAGTAACCAGCTTCAAGACTTCTGTGGTTCTGTTCTTACCCATTTGGTGAAAGAGCTATGAACGTTGTGCCAGCCAAGTTAAGGGATGCCCCTTGAGAGCTGGAGCCAGGGAAAGGCATGGTAGCCCAGCAGGGTGGGTTGCCAAGCCAAAAGAGGTCCGTGTCTCTCCCTTCACAGGTCAAAGCGGCGCTGGGAACAACTGGGCCAAGGGTCATTACACCGAAGGTGCCGAGCTGGTCGATTCTGTCCTGGATGTGGTGAGAAAAGAATGTGAGAATTGCGATTGTCTGCAGGGTTTCCAGCTCACCCACTCTCTAGGTGGAGGCACGGGGTCGGGCATGGGGACCCTCCTTATTAGCAAAGTCCGTGAAGAATACCCCGACCGGATCATGAACACTTTCAGCGTGGTGCCTTCTCCCAAAGTGTCCGACACGGTGGTGGAGCCGTACAACGCCACCTTGTCCATTCACCAGCTGGTGGAGAACACAGACGAGACCTACTGCATTGACAACGAGGCCCTTTACGACATCTGCTTCCGGACCCTCAAGCTGGCCACCCCCACCTACGGGGACCTCAACCACCTCGTTTCCGCCACCATGAGCGGCGTGACCACCTCCCTGAGATTCCCCGGGCAGCTCAATGCCGACCTGCGCAAGCTGGCGGTCAACATGGTGCCCTTCCCTCGCCTCCATTTCTTCATGCCTGGCTTTGCCCCCTTGACGGCTCGTGGGAGCCAGCAGTACCGAGCCCTCACAGTGCCCGAACTCACCCAACAGATGTTTGATGCCAAGAACATGATGGCAGCCTGCGCCCCCCGCCACGGCCGCTACCTGACGGTGGCCACCGTCTTCCGAGGGCGCATGTCCATGAAGGAGGTGGACGAGCAGATGCTGGCTATCCAGAGCAAGAACAGCAGCTATTTCGTGGAGTGGATCCCCAACAATGTCAAGGTGGCGGTGTGCGACATCCCGCCCAGGGGCCTGAAGATGTCTTCCACCTTCATCGGCAACAGCACGGCCATCCAGGAACTCTTCAAACGCATCTCGGAGCAGTTCACGGCCATGTTCCGGCGCAAAGCTTTCCTCCACTGGTACACGGGCGAGGGCATGGACGAGATGGAGTTCACCGAAGCCGAGAGCAACATGAACGACCTGGTCTCGGAATACCAGCAGTACCAGGACGCCACAGCCGAGGAGGAAGGAGAGATGTACGAAGATGACGAGGAAGAGTCGGAAGCCCAGGGTGCCAAGTGAAAGATCCGGGCATGGCCAGCGCTGGGCGCATCGATGCAGCCCCGTAGCTCACCACCATCTCTGTCTCTGCTACTCATCTGCCAAGTTCTAGACGACCAGCTTCTAGTTGCTTCTGACCCAAGGGTTCCAAAACGACTTAAAAGTCCAGTATTTAAACATTTCACCTCCTCTCCCCTTCTCCCCCCTCTTCTTATGAGTTAGCGCCCATTCTTCTCTCCATGACTTTGATAACTTTGAGGTCCCCGGTCTTTATTTTTTACTGGTCTGTGTCTATTTTTATGTTTTGGAATACGTAATAAATCTATTGCTGTCGAGCACCAGGGCTCTCCCCCTTTCTAGCATTTGGCGGC